AATAACACAAGTAATAAAATTAAATAAATATAATAATGTACTAAAAAATACACATACACTATTACACCAAAAAATATACTCATATAAACTAATCTATACTACTTTAAAATGTCACTATATTTGAAAAAAAAAATTCCAATTGTACCCTCTAACAATGAAAGTATTACATTCTTAGTTTTTATTGATGTTTAATCTTTTTTTAATGATAATCTAAAATCAAGTTTAATTGTTCAAATTGTTAAATCCTACAAATTCTGCAATAAGTATTCACTCACTTTTAAAGTATGCAACCTTTTCTCCAATGTCAATTATGGTCTCAATGGCTCCCCTTTCCGTTATGAAAACACGAGCTTACAAAGAAATAATTATAAAGTTGTGGTTTATGCAGCAAGACCCTTAGCTTTCTGTCCATCACATTGCACTCCAATCACTCTTAACATATATTAACTTCACTTGTTGATTCATTGTGATCTTGTTTTGTTTTCCAAGTTTCTGGCCCTTTTTTTATTGATTCAATGTTCAATTTAACAGTTCTCAAATGTTAAGTTTTGATTTTGTTCTATTTCTTGAATAAAATAAATCATCTGTATACTTTACATATATTTCACCTTCCATTATTTCTTGAGTTTGTTCTTGTTTTATTTCCCTCTCCTACTTTTTCAAACAAATGATTGAATAATAATAAATAATACATCAATTGCTAGATTAATTACTCTACTTAATTACCAACAATATGATTAATTACTAACCATATGATTAGGTCATTTTAATCCCTCCACAATAATAATACAACATCCCTTAATCTCTCTCAATGTACATTTAATGGGGTTTGATTCTGCACTTTTTTCCAATTTTTCTCTTTCTTGTATTCATATATTAGAAATCTCACTTTGTTTCTGGTATCTATTTGGAGTACATGATCGATTTACTTTTTAATTCTGTGTTGTGAATTAATTTCAGTTGATTTTTCAAATAAAGATTATTTGGTTTGTTCATTGAAGTTTTATTCAAAGAGAATGAAAAGCAACTTCGAGAACCAAATGGTCTTAGATTCAGTCATGGACGAATCTCTAATAAAGAGAGGATTCACTATAGTTAACTAAATCTCAGTAAATGATACTACTAAAAATACACCCCTTCATTTTCTCTCTCTTTGTTTTTTATTACTAGAAATACACCCAATCATGTACTTAACAAACAACTATCATCTATTTAACAACACATAAAAAATATGACAGGATTCTTGATTGCTCTCAATACAATGATGTAGGTTTGACAATGGGTGGCTTTAGAAAAATCTTAAAATGGTTCATGTGTAACGCACATGTGCACCAACTAGTACACTAAAACATACATACACTAGCACATAAAAAACACACACACTAAATACATCACCCATGACATGCGGGTTGACCCATGACACACGGGTCGACTCATGACCAATGGGTCGACCCACAACCTATACCCGTGACCCACGGGTCGACCCCACAATCGTGTCCCATGACCCACAGGTCAACCCATGCCCATAATCACAGGACCAACCCATAGCCCATAATTGACCCAGCCCATTATGTGTATTTTTTTTTATTAAATGTGTTTTAGTTTTTGTGTTAGTTTGTGTGTATAGTTTTTGTGTATTAGTATGTATTTTAGTGTATTAGCGTGTATATTTTTAGTGTATTAGTTTGTGTGTGTTTTAGTGTATTAGTGTGTATATGTTTGTATTTTAGTGTACTACTAATGTGTCTATTAAAAATTTTAATTATTTTATGGGTTAATGAGTTTAACCCAAACTGTTATAAACCCAACACATTATAACCCATTTATTACGTGAGTAAAAAATAGATTGGATTTATTTTAGTCTAACTCAATTTAACTCAACTCATAACCAATTCAATCCACTTATTTGCCACCTCTAATCATTATCAAGAGATCCTGGACAAAGATGCAATAAATAAAAATAAGTGTACTCTTTGCGTCAAAGTAACGTTGAGTTAACTGATTTTGTTTTATAGGAATAATATAATAAAACCATTGATCTTGACTTATAAGTTAGAAGCATGTACGAAGAAGATGAGTCTCTGAGAGTAATAGACGTGGTTAAGGGTCACATGATTCTATCAGTGAAGATCTATTGAAATGATCTCCGAGCGCTCTCTTTTATACCCACGTTTTTTTCCCACAAAAAAAAAAAAAAAAAAGGAGTCTCTCTCTCATTAACCCACCGGCTCTTATAAGCTTCACTATCCATGTATGAAATGAAAATGGAGATCGTGGGTCAATCATTAAACCCCTTCCCCCCTTTCTCTCCTTCTCTCTCTCGTTCGTCCCAAAAGAGTAGGGTGGTGGATGGATTGAATTTGAAGTGATCTTATTTTAAATCTAATTAGAATATTTTAACTTAAAATTAATTTTATCATCCAAAAAAGTTTATTTTCAGAGATTATATTTGATTCCTAACAGAATTAAATCTTTGACTCGAATATATGATACAATTTAGAGAAATTATTTAGAGTTAATTCTAGTAAATCACACCAGAATTTCAACTTAATTTTATGAATTGATCACAAAAATACATTATGTATTTATACATTTTAATGTAATAAATTTGAATTCAATTTTAAATAATTGGTCAAAAAATTAATTCATATGGATTTAATTAAATTTAAATTTCAATAAGATGCTTATTGTAATTCAATCAATTCATACACCTAAAAGAAAGGTTTTTCTTTTGTATTCTCTTGCCTGTATGAATCACAGATTTATGACAATGAAATCCAACTGATCGCATGGAAGACTTTTCACTTGGACCTGATGAAATCAATCCAATATTGTAGTCAAATGAAAGTGTTGATTGGTTGTAAAACGTTAATGCCAAATGACTCCATCCATTGTATTTCCGGAAGAAAATAAAATTAAAAAAGAAATGAAAACCTCTATTATGGAGAAAAAAAAAATTCTTCATTCATCCATGAACAAGTTCTTTTTTTTTTTTTTTTTCTGAACAGGTCATTAACGAGTTCAATCAATTATAATTTAAATTTTAAAAGCAATAATTTTCTCAATCAATCAATCAAAACAGACTAAAATATAAGGCAAACAATAAAGTTTAAATGATATGGTAAGGTGATAAGTAAATTTTTGAATTTGACCAAAAAGTATTGAATTTAAAATAAAATAAAACATTATTATTGCAATGTTACATTATTTAAGCTTTAGTTTTTTTATCCCATTTCTTAGATGTGTGACAAATTTTAATAGAATCTCGTTTATAAAGAAAAACATATATTTACCATAGCATTTGGATCAGATAACTCTTCCCATAACCAACCAAACTCAACACATCAAATTCCATTCCAATCCCCAAATTCTTCTTATTGTAATTCTTCGGCTTATTTCATTGACCAACTTAGAGGTATGACCGACTGACTTGAGGCATTGATTTGCTAAATCAATACAAGAATTTAATGCCACACAATCTAGCATTATATTTTAATTAATAAGGTTAATTGTAAATTATACTTCGAAAGATCGTTCGAATCTCAATTTTTACCCATAAAGATCAAAAATTTAAATTTGTACCCTCAAAGATTGAAAGTTGAATCAATGTACACTCTCAAAGATCAAAAATCTCAATTTACACCTTCAAAGATAAAAATTTGTATTAATGTGCACCTAAAACTAACTGCTCTCAATTTGCTGTCTGAAACTAAATTGATAAATTATACATAGATTCCCTCATACCTGTCACTTAATCATTTGAATCCCTTCACAAAATAAAAGGTAATATGAAATTATAATTTTTTATTATGATAAAATCATATTTTTAATGGTTATAAAATCCTAATTAAAATACTCTCAATCTAAAAATATCCCCCCAATTGAGCATTCAAATAATTATGTCTAGGTGATATATTGCATTGGATATAAAAAATATTATATAAATACCTACATTCTATTGGACATTCAAATTGTAAGCTTAATTTTGAATTTTAGAGTATATCGGACCCACAAAATAAAAGGTAATATGAAATTATAATTTTTTATTAGGATAAAATCATATTTTTTAACGGTTATATTAACAGATATCAACTAAAAAGGGTTATGTGTTACACGTGCACAAACGTCATGAGATATAAGAGTAATATTCTAAATGTGAAGTGGTCCAAATGATTAAATGATAAGTATGAGGGCATTTAGGTATAATTTATCAATTTAATTTTAGGCAGCAAACTGACGGCAATAAGTTTTAGGTGCATATTGATATAACTTTTTATCTTTGAGTGTGCAAATTTAAATTTTTTATCTTTAGGGGTGCATATTAATACAAATTTCTATCTTTGAGGGTGAAAATTGATATTTTTTATCTTTGAGGGTGTACATTAATATAAACTTTTATCTTTGGGTGTAAATTCAGATTTTTTATCTTTAGAGGTAAAAATTAAAATTTAAACGATCTTTCAAGGTATAATTTATAATTAACCCTACCTAATACCCTCAAATCATTATAACTTAGAATTTTACAGATAATGGAGAGTTGTTTTGTGACAAGATAACGAAGAGACAGAGAGTTACCGTGTGAGATGATGTGAAGAGATTAGAGAGAGATAATGGAACATCTCCACTGTAGATGTCATTGCCTGACTGAAGTTTTTTTTTTTTATATCAGAAGTGATGAGCGAAAAAATTGGTTTTATGGATAATTGTTTAAATAAATTTTATTATTTTTAGCGTTTTAAAATTATTTTTAAAATTATATAATCAAGGCCTAAACTTTTTATTCTTTCAAAAACGTCACCAATCAAACTTTTTTTCCTGTCCTCCACCACCCCCTTCCCCACGCCCACCTCCCCACGCCCACCTATCTCCTGTGTGTACTTGTAGTTTCCCAGTCTACAGTCCTACAGTGTTTGTTGGCTAACAACCTAGTAGCCCCCATGCTTCTGTTGACTTGATGTTACGCCAAGTCTTCTTGAGAATCTGCTCTCTATCCATCCAGTCAACTATTCAAAGCATTTTGGGTCATGGCATTTTTCTATACTCCTGAAGTCACACTTGAGCTCATCTTCTGTGGGTTTTTCAGTATTAAAGCTCTATAAGATTGAGAAAATTTTGCCCCCTCCTTTGAGCTATTCATGAAGCAAAACTGCTTTCTGGGTACCGCAGCAAAACTCTGTATGTATCAGTTTGAAATCAATTACTTTACTCGGTTCTTAATCTCTTGATTCTGTTTTCTTATGTTCAAATACTTTTGCTTTTAAGTTCAGTAAAAAGCTGTTTAGCTTTATTCTTATTCTGTTACTGTACTAGTGTTATATCAACCACCCGAAGACTTTCATCCCCTAATGCAAAGTTAAACTTCCTAAAAGATCTTCTGGAATAGATTTGTTTACTGTAATTTCTGAGCCTCTCAGACACTAATGTTGCCTTTGAACTACCCTGTGTGAATCTGATCTTACTTGAGTAAATTGTCTCTTGATTTGGAATGATGATTATGAACTCTGTAATATATGTGCTTCGGCTACCTTTCTAGGCCTTTTGGCTAAAGCAATAAAGCTACTCGTACCTAATTTGGGGACCCAACTCGGTAGTTATTAGATTGTTTGTAAACTTGATTCAATGTTGGAAGTCACTGCTAATCTCTAATGTCCACAATACCTGTCGAAATAAAGTCCCAATAGTATTACTCTTTGGCTAAGATGAAGTGAAGTATCTGTTCTTGCAGTCTAATATCTGACAGGTTTTGTTTTATACTTTTGTGTCACTGCTGATAATGTTTTGCAATCTTATTGAATTCTTGTCTTGGTGTAAGATATCTGACACCGTATTTTATTCTAATATATCACAGGTTTAGATTGTCTTTGAGTTCCACGCGTCATTCTGTATTGAGTAAAATTCCTAAAGAAAGAGAATAATTATCAAGTATACAACTATTTGTACAAAGCTATGGGGGAAGATGATATTTATGCCAAAGATGGTACTGTAGATTACTGCAACAATCCGGCCAAGAAGAATGAAACTGGAACCTGGAAGGCCTGTCCTTTTATCCTTGGTAATTAAACGTCTCTTATTCTTGTTACTTAGTAGTCTCTAATAAATTTAACAAGACTTATCTATTTTTTTTCTTTTCAATCTTCATTGGCAGGAAATGAATGCTGTGAAAGATTGGCATACTACGGGATGAGTTCCAATCTGGTGCTTTATTTCAAGCATCAACTCAACCAACACAGTGCCACGGCATCTAATAATGTCTCAAATTGGTCTGGAACATGCTATATCACACCATTGATTGGAGCTTTTCTGGCTGATGCCTATCTTGGAAGATATTGGACAATTGCCTGCTTCTCAATCATATATGTCATAGTAAGTTTATTGGTTGAATTGCATATACTTTAGAATCTAGTCAAGGAACTTATCCATGGGTGGGATACATGATTGTAAGGCACAGGAAAGCACATCATATATGCATGTTTTCACTCAATATACAATAAGCACATAAATTTACTTTTAAGCACATATCACACAGAGGAACACACAAATACCTATCACAAATAGGCACATTTCTTGAATTCTGGCATTACCTTGCTCTAAATAAATGTTCAATTAATCAGGCTCATTGTAGATGGATTTTGAATATATTGAGGTGTTTTTTACATCCTCCTACAGGCAAAATACACAGAAAGATTTGATTAAAATTTAGATATATACCCAAAGCATGAATTTTAGATTTCTGTCTGATCTATCAATCTGTCTAATCATGTTCATGATTCAAACAATGTCACACTAGTAACACCTGCAAAAGATACAAAGCGGCCTTCGACCGTAAAATGCCTCGTTTGATTGTGAGAGCTAGACCCACAGGATAAGCATGCAAGAATTGGGACCTAAGCCTTCTTTTTATAGAGTTACCTTACTTGAGCCTTAATCCAAAATGGAGTCTGCCTTAATGTGTGCTAAAGCGCACCTTATTCCGTAGCCAGCGATCACTAGGTGTTTTTCGGGATTGTCTGGTATGCAAATGCTGATGAGGAATCATCTAATCTGATTTTTCACAAGCCACAGACAAAGTTGACTACACAGGTCCAAATTATGTAAGATACTTAACATCAGTATTTATCTACCTTATGCTTATGCTGAATGCTGTAAGTTCTGTTTATATAAGTCAAGCATCATGCTGATGCAGGGGATGACACTGTTGACGCTGTCAGCATCAATCCCGGGCCTAAAGCCGACCTGCTATGAAAAGGATAAGTGCAACCCAACACAAACTCAAAGTGCAGTTTGCTTTCTTGCACTTTACCTGATAGCATTGGGGACCGGAGGGATTAAGCCTTGTGTGTCATCCTATGGAGCAGACCAGTTTGATGATGCTGATGAGGTTGAGAAAAAGCACAAGAGTTCTTTCTTCAATTGGTTCTATTTTTCAATCAATGTTGGTGCTCTAATTGCTGCTTCCGTGCTTGTTTGGATACAAGATAATGTGGGTTGGGGATGGGGATTTGGTATTCCAGCTGTGGCCATGGCAATTGCAGTGGTTAGTTTCTTTTCAGGTACTCGGCTGTATCGCTACCAGAAACCTGGAGGCAGCCCTCTGACGCGCATCTGTCAAGTAATGGTGGCCTCCTTCAGGAAATATAAAGTTGAAGTGCCTACTGACAAGTCTCTTTTGTACGAGACTCCTGATGCAGAGTCTGCAATTCAAGGAAGCCGTAAGCTTGATCATACCAAAGAACTAAGGTAAGTTTCTTCAATCATTTTTCCTAGCAGATTTCAAGTTACAATGACTTGCTTAAATTGATTTATTACTAATCTCACTTCCAGATATTCATATTCTCCAACAAAAAATTATTGCGTTGTAAATCTATTTGATTGATAGCACATGATAGAATCTATTGAATATGTTGGTAAACATTTGCTCACGAAAATGGAATTCGTCACAGATGATAAAATAAATTTGAAGAGGGTGATTGGACTGATTCCTGAAATTGATTTAGTCTGTGTAAGCATGTTAAAGTACTGAAAAACTTCGTGCCTGTACTACTACTGTAAACAACTCATCCCAACTGCTGTAAAGAAGGATTTTTACAACATGGTCTTTCCCATGAACCCTTGTTTCTATACCTTAGATAGAGCTTGTAGGCAACAACCCACCTCCATCCTTTTCCTACCTTCCAAGTGAGCTTCTAGTTTGTCCCTCACCCAATGTTATTTCATGAAGTTTCTTTGACAAGGCGGCTGTAGACACACAATCAGACCATATGAAGGACTCAGTAGACCCATGGAGACTTTGCACAGTGACCCAAGTCGAAGAACTGAAAGCCATCATACGACTGCTTCCTATTTGGGCCACAGGCATCGTCTTTTCTACTGTGTATGGTCAAATGGGCACCCTATTCGTGTTGCAAGGCGCCACCATGAATCCGCATGTAGGAAACTCCAGCTTTAAGATCCCTCCAGCATCACTTGGCATTTTTGACACCCTAAGTGTCATATTCTGGGTTCCAGTTTATGATCAACTCATCGTCCCAGCTGCCCGAAAACTCACAGGTCACAAAAATGGTCTCACTCAACTCCAGAGAATGGGCATTGGCCTTGTCATATCCATCCTTGCCATGGTTTCTGCAGCATTTTTGGAACTTGTTAGACTTAAATTCGTGAGGAGGCACAACTACTATGACCTCAAGGAGATACCCATGTCGATTTTTTGGCAGGTTCCTCAGTATTTCATCATAGGGTGTGCAGAGGTTTTCACATTCGTTGGACAATTGGAGTTCTTCTACGAGCAAGCGCCTGATGCAATGAGAAGTTTGTGCTCTGCTCTCTCTCTCACCACAGTTGCACTCGGGCAGTACTTGAGCTCCCTACTGGTGACAATAGTTACAAAAATTAGCACCAGGGATGGAAAGCTTGGGTGGATTCCAGACAATTTGAACTATGGCCACGTCCATTACTTCTTCTGGCTTTTGGCTGTGCTGAGTGTGCTCAACTTCGGAGTTTATCTTTTGGTGGCAAAGTGGTACACATACAAAAGGCCTGTGGGTACTCTTCGCTGACGGCTATAGGGAATGTCAATATATAAATGGTTTTCGTGGATGTTTACAATCTTGGTTTAAGGTGTATAAACATTGTAGTTGGCATATTATTGTTGTATGACTGTTTGCAAACAATGTAATTGGAGTCTGCTGAAAAAACAATATACTTTTGGAAACAAAAAGTTAGTTATACTGTTACTTAGATCTAGTTTGGGGGTCTAATTAGTTAACCTAATTTGTTGTTCTCTGGGGGTGTTAAAATTTTTGATTATCCATAAATTTCGACCTTATCTTGATTGGCTATTCGAAAGAATCGGATAGGCCAGTGGAAGATTTTTTTGGTATTGCACAAAAAATTAGGTAGAAATGCAAAATACCTACAAAATTTTCATATTCCTATCCTAAAAATTAAAATCCAAATATCTAGAAATCTTAATATTTTATTAATGTTTATGGTTTTCTTATTATGTTTTACTGTAATTGTTTATGTATTATCGAATTTATTATGTTTTCTTAAGTGTTATTGTTCTATTGTGTTAGTTAATTGAAACAGGTTACTTAATTAAATTATTAAAATAATTTAAAAAATTAATAGTTAAAAAAATATGTGTTCACCTAATTTTTTGCTGAATTTTTTACCTGATTATTTTGAACGGTATTCGGGGAAAAATAGTACACTTGATCACATAGTGTAAGCCAAAAAAAATTATTTCATAAAATATCGAATAGGAAAATGAGATGTTATAATTTTTACCAAAATGGTAGGCCGAACACCCTTATTATTATCTATAGATTTTTAATGCTTATTTTCTAAACAGTTCTGACACAAGGTTGATGAGTAGAGTGCTATTAGAGTTGTTGTGTTCAAGGATTTAGGGATGTACCTGTGATGGGAAGAGTAGGAAAGTTTCTTTTAGTTAACTTTGGACTTTCTCCATAATCCCTATTTTTCAATATACTTTTAAGATAAGAAACGATTATAACTAGGAATGAGAGTAAATCGGAGAAAAAATTCGTCCAAATCCGTCCCGTTTAGACTGGGAATAGACTATACATATTGGATGGTGGACATATACCGAAATACCCGTATAAACCCGTGTGGGAATGAAGGCGGGGATGAACTTACCCTTACTCCCGCCCCTTCCCCGCCACGTCCCCGTTACCCATTATATATATAGGTCACGTATAGGTCATTACATTGATCACGTATAGGCTTCTTTGCTTACTGAGAAAACAATTTGGCTTGGGGTAAAATCAGGTATAGGTCATTACATTGATCAATGACTTCTTCATTACATTCTGTATTTTTTTTACAAATTAAAGAGGAGTTCACCAGATGAAATTTTTTGGCATAGGTGTGTTTATAAATTTTTATTAGAAGTTCTAGAACCATAAATACCTTTTACATTGGACTTTTATTATCGTTTACTTGCATTCCATGTGTGATGTCATTAATGGATGTCATAATTTCAGAACACATAGATGACATATTTGTGGGTTCCCTTGTTTCTGTCATTTTAGCAAATATTTTTGGAACATTATGCAGGTCATTGCCTTGTTGAAACAGACCACAATAATTTTCATGGAATTGTAACTAATTATCTCTTAGAATAATTTCCCTTGTTTCAACATAATTGAATGCATAGAAAAGAAGGCACACTTTTTATATTGTTACATCTTCTATTCCGATCATAGCAAAAAAAAAAAATTAAGCTATTTTAATTCTTATGACTTTGCTTGTGCTTAGGCGGGGATGAGAATTATAAATTTACCCGCGGACGGGAATGGAGATGAAAATTATACCCGTTAGCATAGGTGGTCGGGGATGGACGAAGGTTTTTTAAGCGGGTACGGGGGTGAAGACTATATCCCCCACCCCCGCTCGGTCCATTGACATCCCTAATTGTAACTTGTGGATTGTAGTAGATTGGTTAGAGTATTTTTAATAGGCTTTCTATTTTCACTCAATTTTTAATTACAAAGAGTTAATCTTTAAAATTTCTTCTCTAATAAACTCTTTACATTTAGAGAGTCAAACAAACTATCTACTCTATCTTTTTTAGAATAGAAAAAATAGTATATATGTTTTTTCATCCAAAATATTTTTAGAATAAACGTATCTCATTTAAAATAATAGAGGAAAAATGTGAGGAAAGTTAAATTTATTGCCTATATATATATATATATATATATATACTAACTATAAAATGTCAACAAAAGTGAAAAAATTTTTATTGACAATTATGTCTTTATAAAAAAATTAAAGTCAACTATATCCTTATGTATTTAATTATCTATACCCTACCTAATCGCTCTAATGATTTCATATCTTTTCGTATTCTTACTTCCAAAAAAACTGATAGCATCGTCAATTAATAATAGTAATAGATAAGCATTAAGTTACTGGATATTACATTATCAATTAGAACTCTATTGATGTTCCATCTTCCAATTGGAACACATCTTTTTTCTCTCTATCTCTCTAGTTTTCACACAAATTGTTTGTGTTGTGCTACATCGACAGGTACCAATTATCTTTCTTCCCCACAACAATTCTTTTTGGCTTGGGCACAATGTCTGCAAATTGGATTGATTAGATTGATCTTAAGAATTTGGATAGGGTGTGTTTACTTGGATTCGTCTAGTTTGTCCACTTAATTGTATTCATCTTCTTTTTGAAGCCCAAATCTCCCTATTTCTCTAAGTACTTCGTGCATATCTCAAAACTTGAAACACAGTAAAGGTTAAAAATCTCACTCTACTATATGCTCATGTCTCTTTTTGCTGCTTATTCCTATGAATTTTGTTTGAGTTGTAATTTTTTCTTATTATACATGTACATGGCCCCTCTGAAATGCACGTACACTCCCATAATAAACACACAACTCCTCACGCAAAATTTTTATTTGAGGTACTCGTTAAGAATTCTATAAAATGTATTCATGACTTTGATAGGTTTTCATTTAACTGAAAATCAAGTGTCTTTTTAGTATTAAACTCTTTAATAATGTTATTTTGTGGGGTTCCTATCTATTCAATTCATGTCCAGTTAGATAAATCTAAAGTTGTAGATATATGTACCATGTACATATGAATAGATTTATGTATACATCTCCAAGTTGCGGTTAGAGTCCTAAGCACGGGTAATGTTTGAAGGATTTTGGAATTTTCAAGTGAACTCATTATGCCATCGCAATTAAATCATTGATTAACTTAATTATACTTCTAATTATTTAAAAAAAACGAGGGCAAAAGAGGGTTGGCAGTGTGATACTTTGCAAGGTCGTGATATGTTCTTTAACATGGGAGTCTGAGTAGCAACTCGACACTATCTACCCAAGAATATGTTTTAGATCCAATTTGTTGCAGCTCATCATTGTTAAGAGACATGTCCACCTTGGAATTATTTGAAACTTTGGCGGATATCCAATTCTTTCATTTTCTAAGCTGAAAACAAGTTTTGGCATCAAAGCAACAATTTTGGCTATTTTTGAAGGCTTTTAAGTGCATAATAGAAGGTGACTTTTTATGTTTATCGGATAGGTGCAAAACAATCTCTTGAATCCTGCTCCTATGCTAATTTTGTGAAGGAAAATTTCTTGATTCTAAACTCATCTCTTCGTTGTTAGTATGCCTCTTAACAATAACATTCATAAGAGTCCTATAGTTTGGTTTGCATTTTCATGGTTCCTCCCTATCAAACAAAAGGCTATGAAAAATTGTTTATCACGCTTTGTGGATGAGGAATATGTTTGCTTCTTTCACTAAATGTTTGTTAAGTTCAAAAAGGAACATCAACTGATTGAGGCTAACAAACTGATTCAAGATGATTTAATTTAGGATAACTTTAGGCTACCCCTTTATTGAGTCATATGGGAGTAAAATAGAAATTCTATAACATTATTTCTCCATCACCTAGGATTGTAGAAAGTGTAAAGGTTAGATAGGGAAATACACTTACCTGACACATAGTTTAAGGTGGAACAAATTGCAAAAATTCAACTTGTTGTATTTGACAAACACCAAAAATTACCAATTAAATCTTAGATCTTTTCTGAAAGCGAAACACATCTAGAAAGTATTGACCATAAAAGCGCTAAGTGAGTTTTCTTAATGGTTTTGGGAAATTAGTTGAGGAATATTTTAATGAATTAGAGATTGATCAAAATAAATATGATGATTCACATGTAATGCACGTATACATCAACTAATACTTATAAATGTCAGTATATGTGAAAATTTTTTGATTTTCTATTTTATCCCTAATTATTATAATGAAGTCAATTATACTCACTTATATACTTTCATCTAATTTTTGTTTTTTACAACTATTTGACTTTTAATTTGTTTTGCACTCTTTTACAAGAACTTCTAAATTCTTTTGAACTGATTTATTATTAATATAGTTATATATAATTATCTATATCTATAGGAGGAAGTAAAGTCCTATATATGTTAAATTATTATATACATGGAGTAATCAGGTTAAATTTTATGGTTAAATATATGTTATATTTTATTCTTTGTATGCAATAATATAATAATATTATAAGTGATCTAATCAATTTATTTTAAAAAATAAAAATTAATAATTCTATAATATAATTAGATGTGCAAAAGTTTAAAAAGATTGGAGAGATACCTAAATAAATGACAAATTAGGTACTCAAAAACTTATAGAATAAATCAATGTTTAAAATACCGATTAATTATTCAACACCTAATTTATTATTTAATTTAATTACACATATAATTACTATTCTATAAACATAATATTATTTAAATTTAATTACGTGCAACGCATGTCATGCATTGCTAGTTGCAAAAAAAGACAAAATATAAAATGATAAGAATAGAGAGTCTTATTGGAGTGATGTGTAAAAATTTAATCTCTATTGTAACTTTTTATTAAAGATACTCTCTATTTTAGAAAAAAGATGATTTCTATTTTATAAAAGATGCTCTCTAAAATAGAAAGCTCAGTTGAAGATGCTCTTAGAGTTTGTCTAATTATTTTCTCCCTAATCATTTTAAGATTTCTTCCTTGTAAATTATGATGTGCTTGTAAATGTTTTGAGTCAAATTATTCAATATTAAAGGTTAGTTGTTAGCCTAACGACGATTGTCCTTGTTGTTGAATTTTAAAGTCGGGGGTTTGAAATTTACTATTATTAAACAAAAATGAATATCT